AGTTAGTCAGTTGGTCTAAATCAGTTATAAATATATTTGGACACAACATGTATACTTGGTGTTATGTTCCTGTTCATATTTTTTGAACTTAAAAGTTGACAGACAACCTTTATTACCAATAATATGTAATGTACTTTACAATGTTCCTGACATATATTTCAGCTTCCTGGATTTTTTTTTTCATCTGGCCTTCAGATATGAAAGGCAGAGTGATTTAACACCTGTTTAGATTTGTCATCCATGTGACGAAATGAAAAGTATGCCGTTTGCAATAAACTTTGCATAAAATAGTTAATTTGCATTTAATTTTAATGGTTCAAAGAATGTCAGGCAAAATGGTCGGCCCTCACGCTTGTTCACTTCATCAAATCTGGCCCTCTTTGAAAAAAGTTTGGGCACCCCTGCAATAACCTCTGGCCAATAGTTACTTCTAATGGGGAAAGTAAGTAAATAGGAGAATAGGGGAGGAGGCAAAAGTCAGCAATAACTGCAATTAGGAAGCCAGACAATTCCAATCAGTTAAGATTCTTACCTTTTTACTTCTTGAAATTCGAAGTCTGGTGACTGTTCCAAACTGGCTGAAGTACTCCTGGAGTTGTGGCTCAAAAAGGCCCCTAGGGATGTGCCCTAAATAAATTACACCAGGAGTCAGCTTCTCATGCTGTGAATATGAAAAGAATGGGTAACATTAAAAAAACAGGAATATTCACGCGCATTTACCACCTTAAACACAAAGAGCCAAAAGACCACAAATTTGGAATCAGTACAGTAACTTCTAGTTCAAGGGTGGACAAATTACAGCCTGTGGGCTGCATCTGATCCACCAAGCCACTGGAACCTGCCTGCAGTCCAGTAGGAGCCACAGGAAGGCTCCCTGCCTGCCCCACCTCTGCATGCCACTCAAAGCAGCTGGTCGCAGGGGGCATGTGCTTCTGAGTGCCAGGAGCTGGGAGAGGGGTGGTGAAGGGGAACAGGCTTTGCATGCTGCTTCTGCCCACAGCACAATCTCACAGCTCCTATTGGCTATAAACCACCCAATGGGAAGTGCATAAGACATGTTCACAGTGCAGGCAGCATGTTAAATATCCCCCCTCCCCATGGCTGTCAGAGAAGCACATGGCCCCCCCATGACCAGCAACTTCAAGTGGCATATGAGGGAGTAGAAGGCAGGGAGCCTGCCTGAGGGACTTGCTGTGCTTAGGTAAGCACTTCCTGGCCAGAGCCTGCATGTGGCACCCCAACCCAATGCTCCCCTTTCTGCGCCCATGCCCCAGGTTATAACTCAAACCCCCTGCACACCCATTCCTACACCCATGAAAAAGTTAACTGGTTAAACAATATGTTTAACCAGTTAACCATGGAGTCCTGGGGTCCTGCAGGCAGGGAGGCTTGCTTCAGTGAGCCCTGCTGTGCTCAGGAAGGGGAGGACTTGCTCCAGGCAGGCCCGGCCCTACAGTTATCAGGTCAGCATGCTGGGAAGGCTAATGTTTCCCTGGTAACCAGTTAACCTTTTATATCCCTATGGCAGACGCTGCAACCCGACCCCCTTCCCCAGATGCCAATCCAAAGCCCCGCACTCCTGCCCCGTGTCACAGTCTTGTCCCGGACCCAGCGCCCCCCGCTCCCCTCCCCTCCCGGTCGGAGT